AGGAAAAAATAACTCATCTTCAGTATAAAAATTGACGTTGAGTTATACAGCAGTGCTTCTCGAACTTTGAGTGCACCTAAATCAACTGAAGATCTTATTTAAATGAAGATTGGAATTCATGAAATCTGTGTGACCCACATTAGAAAAGCAAGTTTGTAAAGAATGTTTCTGTTAACCATGGATAATTCATGCTGACTTGAATCATGGCCTGGCCCCTTCTCCAAACAAACATCTTGTATAAAACCGGTCAAAAAAGAACACACCTTTTTCAAATACAGGAAATAAGCAAATAAGGTATAAAGAATATTCACTAAAAAAGTTGGCACAAAGCAGATGAAAATTGTCATCAAAAATATGGCTAAGGGCCAGGCCTCTGTGCCAACTTTTTTAGTGAATATTCTTTATACCTTATTTGCTTCTCTTTTTCCTCTTTAGTTTCTGTGTATTACTTGACAAGGGATCTTGTTTAATTACTTCCTGTGTTTGATCTCCTAACCTCATGATCCGCCTGCCTCAACCTCCCAAAGTGCTGGGATTACAGGCATGAGCCACCGTGCCCAGCCTTGAATTTTTAAAAATCATAAATATGATGTCCATACTGAAAGCATGGATAAAGAGAATAGACACTGCTGAAATGTAGTGATTAAAGAGAGGACAGAATACTTCAAGCAAAATAAACATAAAGGAATAGAATTTAAAATAACTAGGGCGAAAAATACAGACTTGGAAGGCTAACAAAAAGGATCCAGTACATGCATATTTGATGTCTCTAAGGAATTAAAAATATTTCAAGAATTGATTCAACGGGCCAGGCATGGTGGCTCATGCCTGTGATCCCACCACTTTGGGAGGCTGAAGTGAGTGGATCGCCTAAGTTTAGGAGTTTGAATCCAGCCTGGCCAACCTGAAGAAACCTCATGTCTACTAAAAATACAAAAATTAGCTGGGTGTGGTGGCATACGCCTGTAATCCCAGCTACTTGGGAGGCTGAGGCACAAGAATGGCTTGAACCCTGGAGGTGGAAGTTGCAGTGAGCCATTCCACACCAGCCACTGCACACCAGCCTGGGCAACAGAGCAAGACTCCATTAAAAAAAAAAATTGATTCAAGGAATGAGGATATGAATAGTATCTATCTTTTAAAGTTGTTGTAGGATTAAATTAGAGAAACATGTAATGCTCTTGAAGCAAGGCCTAGCTTTTCATTATTGTAACTACTCTAATTATTACTACTAGTCTAGCTGAACGTTATAGTAAAGTAATTGTAAGTGGAAGTAAGATGGCAGAACCATCTTCTAGTATTTGAAGTCAGGTTTATTCAACTTTTGCTGTATGTCCACTAAGCCATGCTGCCCATCACATCAGTTATATTTTATGCATATTCAATTAACAATAATGAGGAATGTAGACTTATATTTCTAATTTCTAACCCATTAACAACCTTTCCACTATATCCTGGATAAATGGTACTGGCATGCATCTAATATCAGTATAAGTTGTTTTGTTTCTGTCTGCTGTAGTGGCAGACTAAATCCACTTTAAGAGGCATTGATTTCTTCCTTCCCGTGGAGTTGTGGGCTGTCATTCCAAATGTATACTTTTCCTCTCCCAGTTGAAAGTATCTGTACACCAAACTCTTTAGTTACATTGTGGTAGACATGGAGGTGCACTGCTCACATTCCTCTGTGAGAAAACACTTGCACAGTTGCAAAGGATGTGATTAGCTGACTGCTCTTAGCTCCTTCAAGGTCAGCCTCAGCTTTTGAGTCAAGGTCACTCTCTTCTTGGAGAGGCCCCAGTCAATGACTAAGCAAATATCTGGCATTTTTGTCCTATGTAGGCTGCCTCTAATGGACAATTCAGAGCTCCCTTTTGGGCTCAAAGAAGACTATGCAAGGCCTGCTTGGCAGTCAGAGAGCTCCTCCTGTCAGTGCTGTTTTGGCCCCTTTCCTTTCCCAGGTCTTTGCACTCCTAATTCCATCTGAATGTATTCTTCCTAGAGTCCCCAGTCAGCACAGATGGTACTTAAATTTGTTGGTAAAAACAGGCAGTAAAATAGGGCTTGGAGACTGAATCTTTGAGACCCAGCTGGTCATGAGGATTCCCATTCTGATTGGTGTGTGGAGTGCAGACAACTGGCACAATACAGCAGTTGACTAACCAAAGCTTTCAGGAATGGTGATTTGGAATTCTGTACCCTGGAGGGAGATGCACTGGCCGTTGCAATTACTGAGCTATTGAAATGTCCAGAGGCAATGAGAGACTGCTAGTCGTAATCATAGTTGAATTATATGGTTGTTACTTGCTATAGTTTGGTTAGTTGACCCTCCAAACTTCATGTTGAAATTTGATCCCCAATGTTAAAGGTGGGGCCTAGTGGGAGATGTTTGGGTCATGGTGGTGGATCTCTCATTAATAGATTGATTCCCTGGGGTGATGAGGGGAGTGAGTGAGTTCTTACTTTGTTAATTCTGCTAGAGATGGTTACAAAAAATCACCTGACATCTTCCCCCTTTCCCTTTTTTTCACTTCCTCTCTCACTGTGTGATCTCTATACTCTGCCTCTCGTTCCCCTTCAGCCATAAGTGGAAGCAGCTTGAGGTCCTCATCAGATGCAGATGCTGGCACCATGCTTCTTGTACAGCCTGCAGAGCCATGAACTAAATAAATCTCTCTTCTTTGTAAAGTACCCAGTCTCGGGTATTTCTTTATAGCAATACAAACAGACTAAAACATTACTACATTGCATTGATCTTCAGATAGATAACAAAAGATGAGTCAATTGACAAACCATTGAAAACTAAATGTGAGAGCCAGAGTGTCAGTCACCCACAAAGAGGTCCTCATCTCTTGCAACAGGCAGGCAGAAAAAGATGAAGATCATTTTCAGGGTTCAGTGGTCACAGTGGCTGACTTCGATGATGCCTGCATGCTTAATCAAGGTAGCTATGTTAAGCCAAATCTGGAGCCAGAGTTGGAAAAATCTAAGGCTTTGACACATGGGATAAGAATTCTAGTTGGATGCCTCCAAAGATCTGGACTTCCAAGATATCACTAAGCTTTCTAATACTGCAGAAGTGACCAACCCCTCCCTATTCAGGGCAGGAAGACTATTGAAGAGGTGCACCATCAGAAGCTGCCGTCACCTCTTCTCCTCAACACCAGGCCTATAAATATGGTTAAGTCACAGCACAATTCAGCCACAGAAATAAGGAAAGAATGGGACAATATCACAAAACAGCTGCAAGGTCTAACAGACCTTCGCCAACACAAGGAGAACCATGGTACTGGTTCTGAGGGTGCTGGACCAGGAGGCTGGTAGGCAAGACTGGATAAGCAAAAGTTTATTGACCTGATCTGGAAAGAAAAGATAGGGAGTTTGGCAGCAGGGAGGTCTAGGGTAGAAGCATATTCATAGACAAATGGAGTGGGCATCAAGTGTGAAGGTCTTTGTATCTTGTGTTAACACCAGATCAATAGGTAAAATGACTCACCCAGTTGACAAATTAGCCTACTTCTGTCAGCAGCCACCCCAGTGCTGGCATGATGACCACAAGAACAAAGTGGCCGGCAGCAGAGATAAAGGCTATGCAGAAGCCCAAGCAACATGGAACTCATTTAACAAGACCAACCAGATTTACTAGTGATAGTATGTATCACCTCAAAAAAATTACAAATCAGTGCACAGACCACATATAAATATACCCATACACATTTAGAATTAATGTGATCTGATTTCATATTGTAATTCCTTAAACACAAATTCAATCAACTCTATATGAATTGAAATAATACCAGTAAACAATTCAGATATTTATGTCAAATTTCATATGTAATAGAGACCATGTAAAAAATCAGTAGGGATTTGTTTAACAATTATAAAACTAAAAACAGTTTAAATAGACACATAGATACATATATGTATATTGTTTATTCCCAAATAATATACACAAATTATAATGACTCCCTTTCATTTAGCAGAATATGTATACCTAATCTTAATTAACATCACAGTATCAGTTTTATTCCAATTATTTTTAAAAACAATTGAGGGAGGTAACCTGGGAAGATAGGTGACCTGCTATCTTGTAGCTAATAGGAACAAAAGGAAAGACAGTTTTTTTGCCTGAGTCAGTTTCCAAGCTTAACTTTTCCTTTTGGCATAGTGAGTTTGGGGTCCCATGATTTTACTTTCCTATCACAGACTACAAATGGAAACTTCATAAAAGTTTCTAAGTTAGTGGTCTGTAAATGAAAAAGATACTGATATTATCAAATGAATATTTGGAAAACTTCCCATGTAGCTGTCTGGTCACCAACATTGGATAAATATTTGGAAAGATACCAAAAGAAATCCAGTTTGGGATTATAATTTGTGTAAGTTCATGAAGTAGAACCATTTTGGGTCCCCAAAAATAGATGCACTTTCTTTTTTTTACTCATCCGTGGAACAAATTTTCAATCCAAAAATAAAAATCTCATCACTCTATTTGTTGGTCTCTTGAAGCTCTACCCTGTTATCAAAGCACAGTGAACCTTCAGGTCAGTCAAAGAACCATAATCATTTTGAAAACTAATTCTGCAATAGCTAATAAAATTTGTAAACACAGATACTCCTCATCCTATCAGCCTCACAGTAGCAAATCTATCACACAGGTATAATGACATCAGTACATATAAGCATATGGAACAATGCATTTATTGAAGCACTGTCTTAATGACAATAATCCAGTAGCTACTTCTATGTTCACAATAGAGAAATGAATGAATAAACTGTTGTATCATATTATGAGAACATATGTATCTATTAAAAACAAGTGACAGCAGTTGTTTATTGAAGGAGACACATTTTCAAATGTTAACTCAACAAATTTACATATTCATACAAAAAATGCAATCTGTTTTCACCCTTTATTAAATTTAAATAGAGTTCACTCAGGCAGTGGCCAAATCTTACTCAGCTTCTCAATACAATCAGACTGTGTGTAAAACCACTTTTCTTCACCATAGTTTTATCAAAGCCCTCTTTATTTCACTGTTTCGTAAGCTGTAGATGAGTGGATTCAGCAGAGGAGTGATCAATGTGTAAGCCAATGACATCAGTTTCGTGGTTTCTGGTGAGTAGCCAGATTTGGGTTGTAAATAAGTCATATTGGCTGTGCCATAGAACAGGGTCACAGATGTGAGGTGAGAGGCACAGGTGGAAAAGGCCTTTTGTCTCCCTGTAGTTGATGGCATCTTCAGGATGGCAAACAGAACTCGAGTGTAAGATAAGAGGATCAACAAGAAAGGAACCATAATAATCAAAATGGTGCCTGTGAAGGCAAAGATTTCAAATAAGAAGGTGTCTGCACACACAAGCTCTAGTACTGGGGGAGTCTCACAGAACAGATGATTAATTTCACTGGGGCCACAAAACAGAAAACTAAATACCCAAGTGGTCTGCACAGTAGCCACCATGATCCCTGAGATCCATGAGAACATTACTAATTTCACAAAATCCCCTCTGTTCATAATCACTTGGTAGTTCAGAGGATGGCAAATTGCAGCAAACCGATCATAAGCCATTGCTCCCAGGAGAAAACATTCAGTCCCACCAAAAAGAAGGATGAAATACATCTGTGCAAAACAGCCCACAAAAGAAATTATAGTTTTCTCAGTAGAGAGCACCACCAGCATTTCAGGCATAATGACTGCACTGAAACTCACCTCCACCACAGATAAATTTAGGAGGAACAGGTACATGGGAACGTGGAGGCTCTCGTTTAAGGAGATGACGACTATAATGATGGCATTTCCTATCAAGGTCACCACATAAATAACTAGGAAAATCCCAAAGAGCTGCACCTGGAGCTCAGGAAAGTTAGAAAAGCCCAGGAGGATGAATTCAACCACACAGCTTTGATTTTGTCTTTTCATTTCAGTAGTTGAACCTTAATATTGTTTTTATGGACCTGGTATATCGAGTATGAAGTCACAATCCCATAGCTGTGAGTTTGAGTCTGGAATTCTTAATGGCAGATGTAATGACAAGCTCATTTTGACAGAACTTCAGGTTGGTTCTTATGAAGAATGGCCAATGGCTTGTAATAGTGAATCTTTAAAATACAAATAAGTTAAGTATTTTGGTTTAGAAATCTTGTTTTTTAAAGTACAAATTAACAGTAAATGTTATCTGGCTACATCTTTGTTATGTAGGTTGCTCTCTCTCCCCTCTCTTAATGCCAGGTTCCCCTTTAAAAGCCCCTGCTTTCTCCCCAAAAAGTGAAGCAGTGTCCTTAAAGGCAGGAGCCTATACCTCTTCCCTTAATTGGATTCTGCAAGCAAAGAGCAACTGAACCTGCGTTTTGGTTACACCTGGATTGCAAGCTAGTCTGGAACTTGACTGCATTCCTAACTCTGCCACTGTCTCTAAGATGGGTCTCTGCCTCTCCTGCACTTGGGTTCCCATCTGTATGGGTTGGAAGCAGGAGAATGATCCCTTCTGGCTCTGACGTAGGTGTTTCCCTCATTTGTTGATAGAAAACTGCAGGCTGCAAACTGCAGGCTGCAAGGCCTCAACTCCAATCAGATGGGAGCTGGGCTGAAGGGAACATGGAATAGTGGTGGTGGGCACATAGGCAGCACACATGCTGCCTGAGTCACTTTGGGCCTGCCAGTCCCATGCACAGATGACCTTTTTCTTCCCAATCCAACTGCCCCTCCAGAACCCCTCTCAGGGCAAAGCAACTTCATTCTATCTTCTCTCAACCAGATCAAAAATCCTTGTCTCCCAGTATTCCCTTCACTGTCAGGGCCCACATGTCTTTAAAATCTGGAGTCCTCCTGGCTTCACAAGTCCATTCCCACTGACACTGCTCCACCTCACTGCCTCTTTTCCTCTCCCTTCACCTCTTCTACCATTAAACGGAAACTAACTGGCTCTTCCATGTCTTATACCCCTTCCTCCAATCTGTACCTCAAATTTCTGACAAAATAATATCACCTTCGCTCCCATAACCTTCAGGGTCTCCCCTTATCAGTAGAATATAATGCCCACTTCTCAGGCCGGCATTTAAGGGGAACTAGAGTGATAACAATTGCTTTAGGAATGTAAATGAGGGAAACATTACTTCTGAATGGACAGTGAGGGTGGGAAACCATAATCACAAGATGGCATGGGTGGAAGGTCCATTAGGCAGAGAAGAAAAAGCATAAGGAAGTCTTCCTTGCTCAAATAGAAGATATTCAATGACACCTTAGTATTAGAATGGAGCTCTAAACTGGCCTTCGTGTGATGCTTCGAAAACCAGCAGAATTTTACTATGGGACAAGAGGAAACCAGGAGGAGAGAAGGACACAGCGAGTTGAAGACGTCCTGATTTCATGTTATTAGGACATTAGCAGAGAGGAAAAGGCAATTGATTTACTGAGTCTGACCATAGTGATATTAAAAACCAAATATATGTATTAACTATAACAAAGTATTTTGGATATAAGAAATCTCCTAAAATAGACTTGGCAGGAAAAAAAAAAAGCACCTAAGTATCATTTTAATAGACAAAACTACATTTTCAGCTCCAGGCCTATAAAACCAAGTACGTTTGTAAAATGAGAAAATTTAGAATATCCTACTAAAAATAGACAACTTTTAAGGAGCTGATAAAGCACAGTTATAGAACAAATTTAAATTACTACCTTTGTGAGTAATTTTTTTAAGCTGAACTGAAATGCTCCATCTTTTCCCTTTAACATAAAACAACATAATGCTGATTTAGCTACTTCACTGACATGTTCTACTGGCTCTGGCATTAACTTTCTGTATGATCTTGAGCAAATAACTCCCTCATCAGGGTTTCGTCTTTCTACCCAATTAGACTTATTTCTGACCACCTTCACCCCGCTCCCTCAACTACATACCTTTAAGAATTGATGATTTGTGCAAGCAAACCGTTTATAGATCTAATTACTGTCCAAACTTTTATGTGAATATGAAGGGCACAGCAATTCACTCTCTTACCTGAGCATTGAGTTATCACTTGATAAGTACCTCCAATTAACAGTGAGGATAACTACAGATGGCAAACCCACCAACAAGTACCAAAGCAGAATCTTCAGATCGTTATCTATTCACTGTCCCTGATTTTCATCCCATTTATGTGTTACTTCTTCAATTAAAAAGCACTTCCATAAATACAACTTAGTGATTCAATGCATTGATTTTAGATTATACTGCATTAAATTGTATGCCCTGAGAGAAATCTTCTCTGGAGAACTTACACACAATTTATACAGACTCTCTTGTATGGGGATAAGGAAGCTCCGCTGCACAAACTTGGAATACTGCTCTTCCAGATTTCCATTGGGAATTAACACCTCTTCACACGAGAGACCCAATTCCACCAAGACCTTCCCCATTAAGAAATGAAAGCAGAGACTGAATAAATGTTAATAAATAGGCACAAATTGAGAAGGGAGAAAAGAATGTGAGCGTGAGTAAAGGCAGAGTGATTTGGACAGAGAATCTGATTGGACAAGACAGACAGCTTGCACAATGGTAGGAAATGTGTTGTGGCAAGTAAATTGAAGTTACTTTGTGGAAAGCCTGGAGATAACAAAACTTAAAGTTTCTAGTAGTAATATAGAAATACTAAATTTTGGGGGAAAGTCTTTCAGATAATTTTATAGTTGAAACTTTTTAACTTGAAGTCAAAACATCTGAACTAATATGACTTTGAGCATCACGTCTCTTCTCTGGCTCTATTTTTTAATAAAATCAAGATAATGTTATTAACTTCACAAGGTATACATAACAATCAGAGGACTCAGAGTTAAGTTCACACTGATTTGAGCAATCAATAAAACTATTAGCTCAGTTCCAGCAAAGTATAGGGATGAATGAATCTGCAGGCTTGGCTTTATCCAGAACTCAGATAATGTTGCCAGGACCTGGATTTCTTTATTTCTATATTTCTCATCTCTGCTTTCCTAGAGTAGGTTCTATTCTCAATGAATATTTTCCCCTTAGTGGCAATAAGGCTGCTAACAACATTTAGGGATAGATCTTCTCTGTATCCCGTGGGCAATGTACCAGTTATCCTGAGGAAAGGGTTTTCAGTTGCAAAAACTAATCCAAGAACCCCTCCTATATCATTTACTATGGTGGGATTACATGAGTATCCACCTATAAACCAGACACTGTGGCTGTGAATGAGATGAGAAATGCTACCTAATACACAATTTTCATGGCATCCTATACTATAACCAGGTACAGCATCAATTCTAACTATGCATACCTGAAAATGTTTAATTAAAAAAAATTCCCAAAGGGAAATGAAGGTACTGTTTATAGGAGAAGGAGGTCAAAGAATGATGGTGATTCAACACAAAAATGCTCTATACATAAAGCATGCTATACTTTAAATTATTATATGAATACAAGGAGGTGAGATGAAAGCTGAGAAACAATAAAGTTACATTACTTATTTTTGCAAGATGGACTGGACAGAAGTAGAACTAGGATGTAATGAATGGAGCAAAATCATAAATATTGTAGAGGATAAATAGTTATATATAGTTCTGGACATGAATGTGTCACATAAATGAGACAGGATTTCAAATGTTGGTGAAAGACAGGATGAATAAATAGAAACATGGACAGGGAAGTCCATAAATAAATCACTTCAAGGGCTTTGCATACCTTTGGAACTGATTCCTGAGTCCAAGAGTGAGGGGAAAAGGGATATACTTACCCTCTTAAAATAAGTCAAGGAGTAAATAGTCACACACTCTATTAATGAATAAGTCTTCTCAGAACTGACAATCCCTTCATTGAACAAGCTGAGAACCTGACTGTAAAGGCATTGTTATAAGCCTACACAGACGTCCCTGTCCCCTGAGTCATGCAAAAAAAAAAAAAAACAAAAAAAAATCCACTGAAACCCTTGAAGTGGGAAATGGAAAGTGTGATATACAGAAATTATCTTTTTTCCTATGAGTCTGTTACCTAAGAAGCAAAGCAACAGAGTAAGTGTCATCAGCAGGCAATGGGATCAGCAAAAATTTGTCAGCAACGATTTGGTGGGGGGGAGGGCGGAGGGTGTTATGATGGTGGTATTGTTGGACCTATCAATGTTTGTAGGATTCCCTTGAGCATTTCTTGAAAGGTCAGTCTAGTGGTGATGAATTCCCTCAGTTTTTGCTTGTCTGGAAAAACTTTATTTCTCCTTCACTTCTGAAGGATAGCTTTTCTTGGTAGAGTATTCTTGGCCACCAATTATTTTCTTTCAGCACTTTGAAAATATGACTGTCTCTTTGCTTGTAGAGTTTCTGCAGAGAAACCTGCTGTAAGTCTAATGAGGATTCCCTTATGTGTGACTTGATGCTTTTCTCTTGATGTTTTTATAATTCTCTTTTTATCTTTGACTTTTAACAGTTTGACTATAATGTGCCTCAGGAAGGATCTTTTGGGGTTAAATATGTTTGGGGAATTGAGCTCACTGGATCTGGGTCTTCATATCTCTCCCAAGACTTCAAAAGCTTTTAACTGTTATTTTGTTAAATAGGTTTTCTATGCATTTTCCCATCTCTTCCAGAACTCTCATAATATAAATGTCTGTTTGCTTAATGGTGTCACATAAGTCCTATAGGCCTTTTTCATTCTTTTTTATTTTTTTATTTTTATTTTCACTCACTGAGTAATTTCAAATAACTGATCTTCGAGTTCAATATTCAATCTCCTGTTTGATCTAGTCTGGCTATTGAAGCTCTCTGTTGTACTTTTTATTTCATTCATTGAATCCATCAGCTGCAGGATTTCTGTTTATGATATCTGTCACTGTGTTAAATTTCTCATTCATATCATTAATTGTTTTCTTGATTTTGTTGAATCTTCTATATGTATTCTCTTGTATTTCACTGAGTTTCCTTAAGATCGTTATTTTGAATTCCTTTTCTGGTAACTCATAGATCTTTTTTCCTGTGAGGCCTGTTATTAAAAAGTTATTGTGTTCCTTTGGTGGTCTCATATTTCCTTATTTTTTCATGTCTTTTGTGTCTCTGCATCTGGTGGAAAAATTGCATCTTCCAAACTTTATAGAGGGGCTTTCATAGAAAAGGACTTTCACCTGCAGTTGTGTCTTTGTGTGGCTATTGAGAAAGGTGTGGTGACTCTGGTTCTGAGTAAATGTAGGTGGTGTAGTCTCTGTGCAATTTGT